CACAAACAACCTCGAAGGCAGGATTGCACCCGAAGAAAATTATGCTCTCAGTGTGGTGGGATTATAAAGGTATCATTTATTATGAGCTCTTACCATCAGGCAGGACGATCGATTCAACTGTATATTGCTCCCAATTAACGAAATTGAATCAAGCAATACGTTCGAAACATCCAGAATTGGCAAATCGAAAAGGAGTCGTCTTCCACCACGACGATGCCAGACCCCATACTTCATTAACTACTCGGAACAAATTGTTAAGGCTTGGCTGGAATGTTTTGCCTCACCCTCCTTATTCACCAGCACACTCTGATTATCATTTGTTCCGGTCGCTGCAAAATTCTCTGAACGGGAAAAACTTTGCTAATAATGAAGCTGTTAAAACGCAACTGGATCAGTTTTTTGCCGGTAAACCTCAGACGTTTTATGAATGTGGGATTATGAAATTGGTAAAAAGATGGCAAGAAGTCATAGAAAAGAATGGTCAATACATTATTGATTAGTATATATTTTGTATATTAAATAAATTGTATTTTATACCAGTCAAAAAAACCGAACGAACTTATTTGCCAACCCAATATAATGTATATAATTGTAATTTTTTATTTCAAATGTATTGTAATTGTTTTATTATATAAATAAAGTCGAAAAAATTGTATGTAAAAATGCGTTTTGTACTAAAAACCTATATGTAGGATGTCTAATTTTAACATAGATACCCCAATATTATGAAAACGGTATGTCAATGGAAAAAATGTTTTAGATACAAATTGTATAATTTGGAGGTGGACATTAGATGGTGACATTGGTTTGACCTTTAATAGTCACGAAGGTCTTGAATTTTTTTAATGGAACCCCCTACTTTTTATTGCATATTTTTTAAGCTTACCTCGAGAGCTTTTTAAAACACTATAATAAAATATTTTTGCATTACGTACTTTTCGAGTTATGAGGCTTGAAAGTTGTAAATAAAAAAAAAACATATATATATATATTTTTTTTTATATATATTTTCCATATTATTATTTTTTTCAGTATTCTAAGAACATTTTTGTAATATGTCAAGAATATTACGTGAAGTGGACATTCCTATGATATTAAAAAATATTATATAAAACATTCTTAGAATATTATAAGAATGTTATTTTAATATTGAATAATATCCATATAATACTCTAAGAATATTACGCGCTTATAGGATATTTAAGGCGCGCCTTTGTCTTTCGATAATTACACAATCAGCCGGGAATCGCGGTGAAGCGCGAAATGTAACCCGCCGCCGTATTCTCCGACTTGTCTCCGGAGAGAGGGTTAAAGTTATCGTCGTTAAATTCGCCATTTGCCGCACCGTCGAGGCAGCCTCATCGAGCGCCATTTACGTAATGCCTGTGCGACCCGAAAACGTCTCCTTTCGTGTGCGGAATACGGCACACTAAACGTCTGCGAAGACGTCGCGATGGAATGCGATGGAAACGAAGGGGGAGGGGGGAGAGAAAGCTACAATATGAACGTTAAATATCGAACAGTGGGGACTCTCTCTCTCTCTCTCTCTCTCTCTCTTTCACGGCGAATTTATGGCATGTCCCGCCCCCCGAATCCCGCGCAATAAGATAGCGACTTTGCGTGCCGCTTGCGAGTTCGCACACTACCAGGTGCGAACTTTATGCCCTCCCCTTATCTGCTCTCCCCCCGTTTCCTCCGCTAATTTCGTTTTATTACAAAATTTGTTGCTGCCCGATGGAGTTGGGCAATATAGTATCGATACATAGAGAAATAAAGATTTCTTCCAGAAAAATAGGTTTTTCCCCCGCGATTTATGGAGGAAAACCTTTTTTTTGGGGGGAGGCACAGTCCTATTTCCCTATGTAACGATACAGTATCGATACTGTATCGCCCAACTCTACTACCCGATGGCCCGCTTGAAAGAATACGGCATACTTGTAGCGCGCCGATCCGATAATAGTGACAGCAAACAAGAGTAATTCCTCGGTAAGCGAGAAATCGTTAACACAACGTTGTTACATTTGATATTTTATAACATTTTCAACGTTTTCAAATATGTAGTTCTTAATGTTGTGTATAACGTTACTGTTGACAATATTTGACCGAAACACTAAGAATAATATTTCCACATCATAATTTTAATATTTAAAAATATATTATCAGGCAACAGTTTAAAAATATTTGTAAAATATCATGTCAAAGTGTTTGTAAAATCCACATAAAATAAGTGTTTTAAGAGATTTGTTGAGTTCTAAGAGATTTAATGTTTCTTGCTTCCCGGGTAACCCGTCGAGAGATGGCCAATATTTGCCGAATTCGCGGCTCCGATTCTACCTTCTTAGATAATTCTTTTATTATTTAACCCTTAAAAGTATGATGGGAAGAATACTTCGCATCCTTCTACTTTCAGATTTTTATCGATAAAATTTTCATTGCTGCATTTGAACTGTTTCTTTTTATTTTTCTAATATCTTAGGGATAGGTGAATATAGAAAAATCGTCAAAATACATATTTTATTAACTGCAAAAATACTATAAATAACCAAATTAAGAAAAATGCGTTTTGTCACAGGAAATACACTTTCCAGTGACTTTTCCAAAATTTAGATATTAAAACTTACATATAAGGTTTTCTGAGGTCACCGATTACGGATAATCTGATGTCAGAATTAGAAGATTTTCAAAATTCAAAATGGCGCTCTAAGATGGCGGACTAAAATTGCAATAAATCAAACAATTCTCTTCAAATGTGATATATAGAGGGTTTTCGGATCGATTATGAATCCGAAATTGAAAAATTACAAAATTCGAAATGTTAAATATAAAATAGTGGATCAAACATGCGAAAACTCAATGTCTATGGCTTTCAAAACTGAGTACAAATTACAAATTATGAAATACGCTATTGCAAAAACGAATTGGAAGGATTGAAATGATATAATCTACAGATAAAATCTCGCTTATACAGAGTGGGGCAGTCAAACCCTCTTTTTTCATATAGCTCGAAAAAAGTTAAAAAGAAAGAAAATTCAATTTATTGTAAGAAATTTTAAGTACATGAGTGGAAATTTATTTTTAGGCAATGAAAAGTTCACTTTTTGAAAATCATGTCTGGTAAATGACGACTGTTATTTTCCAAGCATGTTGTAAGTCTTGTACAGAAATTTTCACTAACTCGTTGCAGTATCTGTGGGCTGATGGCACGAACTTCTTCTTCAATCCGCACTTTCAACTGTTCTAGGGATGGTGGGCGAGTAGTGAAAACCTTCGATTTTAAATAGCCTCATAGAAAGTAGTCACAGGAACTGAGGTCCGGCGATCGCGGAGGCCAAGGAACATCCCCATTTCTGCTAATAACCCGATTCGGGCTCTCAGAAAATTCATAGAGATTGCTGCCGTATGGCTAGTCGCACCATCTTGTTGGAAGAAACAGAGCAATGCTGTGGCGTCGAGCAGATCTTCGAGGGCTTCTTGCGATCGCAACTCGCACAGCTTCCACATTCTCAGGAGTGCGAATAGTCCTTGCTGTACCTCCTCTTTTCTTCGTTGTCTGACCTGTTGTTTCCAAATTTTCAATCCAATTCTTAATGGTTTTTCTGTCAGGTACAGGAGCTCGAGACAAGAGATTAAAATGTCGACGGAACGCTCGTTGCGCGCCTACGTAGCTTTCACAATTCAGGTAAAACGCTTTAACGGCGAAACCTCGTTGTTCTCTGGTCCAACGCTGCATGGCTACTAAACTTCCCACTACCTAAAACGCAAAGGTCAAACCCCCACCCTTCCTCGCTTTCAGTACTTTTTTCCGAACTATTTGAAAGAAGGGGATTTGACTGCCCCACCCTGTACCAAATTTGAAGTGATTCGGTTGATTTGCTATAATTCCTCCATATTGGATGCGCCGTCTTAGGTTTAACAAATTTTTCAATTTTGACCTCAGATTCGTGATCGGTGACCCCAAAAACCCTCGGGTACCAAATTTAATGAAAAATAAGCGGGAGGAAAAATGTGTGCTTCAAAGGATTAAGAGAAGGATTTCGATCGCGCGTGCGCGCAACATTTATCTTGCGAATCGGATAGCTCTGACGACGAGGGAGGTGACGATCACGGATTAATCTGTTTTCACATCGTCATGATAATGCCGCCAGCTGTTTTGCTCAATTGCCATGAGGGAGGTTATTACAATTAGGGTTAATTGCCCAGTAACGGTGCTTTTCCACGCGTGACTTATGTTGTAAGATAAATATGCTCGATAATTTATCAGCTTAATTTTACATCATACGCTACAACTGCCGATTTGCGCGTTACTCGATGAAGAGTTTAACCGACAGTAAGTGAATAGAACTTTGTTAAAGTGAATCGGTGATAATATTTCCGACTGAATTAGCAAAATATATTTCACCGATATCAATGATATTCTGAACGATTTTCGGTGAATACACTTCGATCTTCTTGTACGCAGAAATGAAAATACTAAAGTCAAGGAAATGTAATTACCTGTTTTCCTTTCTTTTAAATTATATTTTTATCAATTTAAGTATATTTTGATGGTTTGTAGTAAATAATTTAACGCAGTAATACCTTAATTCGTGAATGAATTACTGCATGCAAGTTAATCATTCCAGATTTAAGAGAATGTTTACTAGAATTGTGTGATACTTCTTTTCTATTGAAGAAACTTCATGTTTTAAATTTCGATATTCCTTCGTCCAACGAATTAACCCCTTAACCTACAGATTCGAAAATTTCGGGCCTTGCATCTACCACTATTATTACATCGCTTACCAAATATTCTACAAATCCCGATCATCTACTACGGGCTATGCCCGTAGTTGTAGGTTAAGGGGTTAATCCAGTATTCGAGTTTAGTATTTTCTAGGATTAAAATTCTAATGTTCCCAAATCTATATGGATTTGATACTTATCGAAATTGTCTTAACATGTATAAGCAGTGTTTGCTGGTATCTAGATAAAAATATCTAAATAATCATCCAAATGAATAAATCATCTTTATGTAAATGGAAGAAATACAAAATATTCATCTTCATCTTGGATAAAAAAAAACATGTTATTTCATTTAAAAATGAAATCTTGGATAAAAATGAAATCTTGGATAAAAAAAAACATGTTATTTCATTTAAAAATGATCTGAAATGATGTTATGATCCATATTCTGAACTCACTTTTGATCTTTTTGTTGGATCCTTAAATTTAGAGTGATTACGTTAACGAATCACTTAACTATGGTGCAATTTTATAATGTGTAGTTATAAATTTTTATAGTTTCTCATGAAAACAATATCATCTAAAAAATTATCTATATATGTAGCGCTACTTTTATATTATATTTCATCTAGATAAACTAAACCCAAAATCATCTTCATCTCACCTAATATGAATCTTTCGGGTTTTATCTCATCTTCAACTAGATAAATCTTAAATCATCTAAAACAAACATTACGTATAAATCAATGTCTAATTATACGAAGGAAATATATTGTATAGTATAATTATATTTTTACTTCTAGCAAATATTTGTCACATAGTATCTGAATAAACATTTTACTCGGATCAAGTAAATATTACTCGAATGTAACACTTGTTTCTTTTCAGTATATTCTTACATCTCATTGATTTTGGCTAATAAAATGAAGTTTTATATATAATATAGTTTTACTAGAAAAATGAAGTTTTATATATAATATAGTTTTACTAGAAAATTTATAGTATTCTACTGGTTACTATTAATTAAATTCTCTCAACAAGATTTTACTGATTTCAGTGCTATATTATAAGTGATTTCACTATTTTTAAATGACAACACACTGATTGTACTTTAACCCTTTTAATGCCGAACGACGATATATCGTCGTTCGCAACACTTGGGAAAAGTGCCAACGACAATATATCGTCGCGTATCCGAGGGCGTCTTATTATTTGCATTGCGAGAAAGCTCTATCTCAAAATAAATTTATAAAACGTTATAAACGGTCTAATTTCATTGCAAAAGAATTAAAAAAATTGTTTTTGGGTTAACTTTTTGTTATATTCTATGCTGGTTGGTTCTGAGGCTCTGTATACGCTGGAGCGATAATGTAGAAACTCGACATGGGATAGTTTCGTTCTCAGGTCCGATATTATTTTGTTAAAAATGATTGAAAATGTAATACTTATACTTCATACTACGTGATCTACATAAAACTGTGATCAAACGATGATTATTCTTATATGCAAATATTGTTTGTAGAAGAGAAACTTGTTTCTATGTTTTTCATCATGTTTTATATTGATGTTATTCGTATGATTTTCAACAAATATTGAAATAAAATTAGCATTACTTTATTCTTTCTTTATTTCGTAATATGCTGCTTTTGAATTTTGTAAATATCATTTTTAGTTTGGTTTTTATGAGCTTTTTCCCAAACCTTAGCAAATTCGTCAAATTGGCTCGGTATTCTTCGCATAAGTACGATACTTTTGCTCGGCATTAAAAAGGTTAAAGAGTACGTCAATACGATATCGTGCGAGTTGATGTATCGATAAATAATACGATATACATTTTAAGCGGAGACCAAAGGAGGAAGTTTAAGAGGCTGATTTGAATTTGAAATTAACGAAATATCAGCAGAAGCACTTTTGGCAATTTAATTGACGTATTACGTTTTATAAGATCTTGCAATAGAATGACTTTGAAAATTCGGAAACGTTTTAACTTGATGTTAGGATCCTTTTTGCTAAGACGTGTCGAACGTGAACTATGAACTCTTATTTTCAATGTACAACGTCATATCTTGCGGAATCGTTATAAATAAATGCGTCTGTGTTAAATAATGCACTCTCTCTTTCTCCCTAAATTTCTTGAGGTGAAATCTCACTCGAAAAAATAGAGTAACTGAATTCCGAGTCATTCGAATTCCGAGTTATTTGAATTCGAACGAGTTTGTAATTATATAGAGTGAATTCTTCGCTCTAAATGGAATCGAGTAAATATTTTCACTCCAAATTGAAAAGTGAATCTAATGTACACCATCATAAAAATATATCCACTTCGATTTAAACATTCGTCATAGAAATATATCCACTTCGATTTAAACATTCGCTCATATACACACAAAAAAATAAGTTTTATAAATCAAGAATAGATATTCTCATATATAAGTAAGAATATTATAATGTTAGAAGATTTTTAGTTTTGATTTGGTGGAATTTGTATTGGTGTATTATTTGCCAAACTCAATAATTAAAAACTAAAAATCTTTTAAGAATATTATAATATTCTTATGCGAGAATATGCGAGAATGCGGAGGAAAGAGAAAAAGAGAGAGAGAGAAAGAGAGAGAGAGAGCCAGCCAGACAGACAGACAGAGAGAGAGAGAGCATAATATACATTAATCCTGGTCTATAATAGATGCTAAACTCTAAGCCTTAAGAAATTGACTAATCACAATTGATTATTCTTCTATAATTCAATTGTGATTGGTCAATTTTTTAGGACTTAAGGCTTAAATCATCTATTGTAGACTTGTATTAAAGCAGGGACTACAATGAGAATTTAAGGCATAAGACTTAAGAAATTGACCAACACAGTCGAATTATAGAAAAAAATCAATTATAATTGGTCAACTTTTAAATCTTACGCCTTAGGAAATTGACTAATTACAATCGAATTATAAGAGAATAATCGACTGTTGGTCAATTTCTCAAGACTTAGAGCTCAAATTCTCATTGTAGATCCCGCTTTATGCGGCGGGAAAAAAATCCGAAGCATAAACGCGTTCATCGAGCCCCTCTTCTTCAAGCCCCGATTCTCTTTCGCTCGGCAAACTCAGAATCCCGCACCTACCTGTCTGGAGGCGGTCGGGGTCGGTGGATCGGACGGTTCCTTCGGCTGGCCGATCTGGTTCTGCTTCCTTCTGGCCTGGCCAGCGGTCTGCGAGCCCTGCGCGGCCGGCCCGCCGCCGCCGCCGCCGCCCCATTTGATCACATGCGGGCCGGAGTTGCGACGCGGCGGCGGGCCGAGCCGCTCGCCCGGGTCCTCAGGCGGCGAGCCGAGCGTCCCACCTGCGGGCGGCGATAGGAACAGGTGAGTGCGATATCCGTGTCCCTGCTGGTGCTCGTGATCGCCCATGATCGATGGTAAGTATCCGTACTCCCGGCTGCGCCGTACGGGGCCGCGCGCGCCGATCACCGACTGGCCGCCGCTGCGCGCCGCGCCGAAACGCGAAATCCCTAACTGGCCGAACGAGGAGGCCCCGACGGTACCGTAAGCGCTGCCCAGGACGGGCCTGACTTCTCCCAGTCCTCCTCCGCTTCCTCCCCCGCCGCCACCGCTGGTTCCCTTCTCGGCCCCGAAGTTCTTGCGGAACATAAGATTCATGACTGACTCGGGTGCGCGCTCGTGGTGCGCCTCGGGCCTGTCGGCTCTCTCGTTCTCTCGCAATGTGTGGTGTCGTGTTTTTGGGTGTATTTTCTCTTTTTGCGTTTCTTTTCTTTCAGCTGCTTGCTTTTTTTCTCTCTACTACCTTTCTCTCTTTCTTTTTCGTTTGTGTTTCTTTTTGCTTTTATGCGAGCCGATGTGTTTTTTCTCGACGGTCGACGGCGGGTGCTCGAGGATGGAAGAGTGGCAGTGGCGGTGATGGTGCGCGACGATCACAAGGGGGACGTACAGGGATTAACGTTACAGCGTTTCTCTACATCTTTCTTAAAGGCCGATAACACGGTAGTCTCTCACGTGGATTCTGCGCTTTCTCCGACTCGGGGTGGCTTTTTCTGTTCTTTTTTTTTTCTTATTCTTTTCTTTTCGCACAGATTTCCGCCGAGAACGCGCCGAAGACCCCCTTTAACTCATGGCGGGCTCTGTGCTACGAGACTAACGATCTCGACGACGCGTTACCTCGAACGTCGACCACGAGGTCGTGCGACGTGCAGGGGAGAGACCGTCGTGACGACCTCTCGTACGACATTTGGGGAAACTCGAGTTTCGCTGTTTTAAAGCCGCTCGTGCCGACGGCGTTGCGAGTCCCGGCTGTGAGACGAATACGTGGGAGCGTGCGCTGAAGTGAAGAGAGGACAAAGCGTCGCGGATTTATATATCCGATATACGAATTAGACCGACGTCGCCTCGCTCGCGAGGGAAGCTCGCATAAATCGTTGATTTTAACTCGCGCTTACGCAAACGTTATTAATACACAGTGTTTGTCGGTATATAGATAAAATTATCTAAACAACTATCCAGATGAATAAATAGATCCTCTTTATTTTTATCTAGATGAAAGAAATTCAAAATATATTTGTCCTCATCTTAAATAAGAAAAATATGTTATCTCATTTAAAGTTTATCTGAAACAATGTTACGGTCCATATTCTGAACTCACTTTTCGACAAAATGAATGAAATAATATGGATATATGCGTTAAGCCCGTATCAGACTAGGAACTGGAGATTAGATTTCAATGAGTCAACAAATTTCGGTTTTGTCTCCTTTGATCTGTTCTTTTTAACACTGCTGAACTTAGCTGCAACTAAAAAGAACAGACCATTTGTTTCAATCGATCGATCCACTTAAGCCCGTATCAAAATGTCGACTTTGAATGGGCAATCAATAATTATTGGTCTTTTTTGTTAGATCCTTAAATTTAGAGCGATTATGTTGACGAATTACTTAATCTTTGTGCAATGTTATGTGATCTGCGTGATTTTTATTATAAATTTTTAAAAGTCTCTCATGAAAACAATATCATCACAAAAATTATCTAGATAAGTAGCGCTAATTATCTTTCATCTGAATAAATCAAAAGCAAAACCATCTTCATCTCACTTAAGATGAATTTTTCGGATTTTCATCCCATTTTCATCTAGATGAGTCTGAAATCATCTAAGGTAAATACTGTTAATACACTTATGCGAGTGTTAGCTGTGAACTCGTGCGGAACTTTTTTTTCGCACACAAACAATGGATAAATAAATAAATAAACGACGTCCAGCTCGTTTCCGCCTGATATATCTTGTCGAGTCGGGACAAGTTTTTCGTACTTTTCAAGCAGGCTTCTCTGTTGCATCAAAGTCGAACTACGCGATCAAGAATTGCGAGGGAAAGAGAGAGAAAAACGATCTCTTCTTCTCTCTCCATCTACGATCAATCTTCTCTCTGGATCTACGATTTGGAAATCGAGAAACACGAAATCCAGCACAACCACCGAGCGTGGGCCGAGGTCGTCGTTACTCGAAGCGCGTCGCGGCTGCACCTTCGAAGGCCTTCAACGCCGTTGGATTCCGTTGGATTTCGCGCGCGGGACCGTTAGTGTGTTGCTAAAAAGATGCGACGGATTTAGCGGAGTCGTGTTACAATTTGTGTTTCGGGCCGAGGTTATCGAACGACGCTAACGATTATTTCAGCGCGCAAGGTCGTCGCGGCCTCGCGCCTCTTCACGCGTTCGTCTTCAACGTCCCCTTTCAGTCCAATACATTCCAACCGGGGAAGCCGCGTCATCATCGGATCGATCGGACGAGACATTATTTTTCTTGTTCGCGAGAATAATCATATTGAACTGTTTAGCTGTCCAAGATTTCACTAATTGCGGTGTTACTGTGAATTATTTCACGTTTAATTGATACTTGACGATTGTCTTGAACGTTTAATGACTTCTACACTCGTTTGTTTATTTTTTTCTCCTGCTTGAATTCGCATTCCTGAACTGAAACTGTTAATAACAAGGCGTCCGTCGTGACTCTTCACTGTTTTTCGGCGAGTCAACCCGAAGGATCCCGATTGTCCGCGAAGTGTTGACGCGCGAAAACGTGTGGATGAAGCGCGACTCGCGATGCGCGACTCGCCCAACTGACGTTCGCCTCTTCGAGGGAGAACTGTCTCGTCGTGGGAACGGCACGGACTTTAATAGCGAGTCTCTCTCTCTCTCTCTCTCTCTCTCTCGATTGATCTAAAGCAGACCGCTTTGTCACGATAGCGCACGACGGCGCAGGCAGTCAGGGTGGTGCGTGAGAAAACGCGAAAGATCGGCTTCGATTCGCGCGCAGTTTAACGCTCGGTGTATTTTATTCAGTAATGATGGAGGTGGAGGGCGAGGGCTGCAATTTGTATCGACTGGTGTTCCTCAAATATATTTTTAGAACGGCTCGTTCGAGAAGACTTGTCTAACGAAGTTTAGCTTTCCAATCCGCAAGCACATTAAGTGCTCACTTCGCGAGCTAACATCGGCGATAAGCGCGCGATCGAAGAGTGCGTTTCAAGAAGGTAGTGCCGGAACATCGAAGAGAGCGGTCTTCAACGGACCGCTCACGTTGAGGCATTACCTGGACGACGATTCCGCTTCGACAGCGCAAACATTTCTCGCGAAGAAGAATAATCTCCGACGGGGCGGGCGACCGACCGGGGTGAAAGTTTCGAATTCGCGGCGCGGAAATTCTTCCGGGTTCACTTGGCAGAGCGGGTCGCCTGTCTCGGACTGTCGCCAACTAGCAACTTCTTCTAAACACGATCGCTCGATCGCCTGATGTATGTACGTATGTACGTACATACGTACGTCAATGGAATTTAGTTAACGAGCTAAACGTCTTTTTACTATTTCATTCGATCTATAGTCTGGTGTCGAGGGACTGCGCGCGCGACTGTGTATATGTGTGTGTGTTAGTTTAGTTCGCGATCAGGCACCAGGCTAGAGATAGGTGATACAACTCGAATGTATCGATACATTGTACTATGCGTGGATAAACATATCGGTATATACAAGATGTATTGGACATCTTGTATCGATACCATCGATATCGGTACTTGAATTGAATGAAAACATTAGATTGACAGTAGGGTTGGGAATAGAGAAGGTCGATACAACTCGAATGCATAAATACATTTATATCGGTACGTATCGCGAATGTACCGATACATTGTGTCGATACGTATCATGGATAAAGGTATCGGTACACAAGATGTACCGAACATCTCGTCTCGATATCACCGGTAGCGATACTTTTAAATATTAGATTAAAAATAAGATTGGGAAGGTTGACTTTGAAAAATAACAAGCGACAAATCGTTAGCTAGTCGTTAAAAAAAGAAAGTAACTTACAATGGTAGTGACTTATAAAAATAATAACTTTAGGTTATCACTCGTCAACCTATTTTGTTCCTCGATCATCATTTTATTTACTTTGGAAAATAGCCCAACGAACGGAATTGAAGTCACAATTAATTACTAATATTTAATTGCTAAGGCTCTGGATAAGTCATCAGGAGACGGTCAAATCGAAAAAATGATCACCATCACGAGCGGTCAACATAGACATATCGAAGTTCGATATTCATTGCATATCAATACGTGGAAATATCGAACGATAAAGTGTCGATGCAATATCTTGTTATTTCGGTACTAAAGTATCGATATTCAAAATATCGATGCAGTATCGCCTATCTCTATTTCCAACTATCAGGGGAATCTGTCGTTTTTTCTGGCATAAGCATCGCTCGATGTAAAGCGTTGCTTGCGTTACTGGCGAGCGAAATACGTCGGTACGTATTTCCTAAGAAACGGGAAGATCTTCTCTCACTCTCACTGTACAAACCGCGGCGTCGCGATTCGTTCCTGATATATTCCGACGTCAGACCGCGGTGTTGTAACCGTGCGCGAAAATTCCATCCGGAACGCTCGGACGGCGGTCGGGTGGCGGCGGAAAGGTGGATCACTTAAGCGTTGGTAATTACGTGCGAGAGAAACAAACGGCGCGAACGCGCTGCGTCATTGCAGCAATGAACCGGGAAAATTTATCCCGGTTGCCATCGTATGTGATAGAATATTCCGCGATCTCTCTCCGCCCTCCGTCTCTCTCGTAATCACGTACAGCGGAGGAAATTCAACTTTACCCGACGGTAAAGTAAAAAGATCGAGATTTATCTCTGTGCTCTCGCACGCACGCACGCACAATGAAGGATCAGTTCTAATAATATAATTTATTCAGACTTTGATCTCATACTTTGATCTTGAAATCTTAAAATTTCCCTTTCTGCTTTTTTCTGTATATCCGTTGTAATTTTCATCGGATAATGACACGACTTGATCGGACGTCATGCTTGGTCGGATATATCATTTTGTTATTTTTTAATTTGATTATCCTATTCGAGATATGATCGGATATTTTTCTCAATGTACTGAAAAAACGGTTGATCGATTTTCACATTTTTCGCAAAATCGTGAATATAGCTCAGTAGGATATTCATTTCTCATTCTTTTGGAATAAGAACAAAGCTAATTTTGCGGACGATTTTTCATCCCGATTTATGCTCACTAAACTTGGTTGACCATGAATGTCCATTATTATTATTATTACACTGAGAAAAATACCCGTTCATATTAAAAAAATAGCAACAAACGGATATGTCTCCGATCAAGTCCGATCACTTTGTCATTTCATTCGAGTTGTGTTTCTATTCAATAAAAATTATAACGGATATATTGGTGACTAAATGAGTGACAAAAGGTGACTAATTTTCCGATTAAGTTTCATCGACAACTAACTTCATCGAATACTCCAGTATAGGTATCCGTCATTTGATCGGATAATACAAAAACAACAATCGGATATATCATTTAATCGGTTTACCCGGATGGAAATTTTTCTTAGTGGATTTCATTAGCGATCGTTCGAATTTTTTTACGTTTTTCGCATAAATGTGATGTGAAATGTGAACGCAACTTGGTAGGATACAACCTAATCACTTCCTCGGAATATCAACGGCGCTAACTTCGCGAAAGTTTCTTTAGATTCATTGAACAATATAGTTAGGCGGTACAATATCGATATAAGGAAATAGGGGTTTCCCCCGGAAAATTAAGGTTTTCCCCCACAAATTGCAGAAGATAACCCTATTTTTCTGGGAGAAATTCTTATTTCTTTTTGTATCGATTCTGTATCGTCCAACTCTACTGCACAAGATTCGGTTGAGCGTCTGTTATTACTGAGGAAACGATCGATTGATTTTCACGTTTTCCGCACAACACGAAATGCAAAGCTGCGAGCACAGCTCGCGTAGGAGACGAATTCTTTGTTACCTCCGGAATAAGGCTAATTTCGCGAACGTTTTCTCTCGGATATCTCGAGCATCATTGCGCTAAGCTCGGTCGGCCACGAGCGGTCGCTATTTAGTGAGGGATTTAGCGACCGTTCGAACTCCTCAAATGCAAATTTCGGAGTTTAACCGGCGAGCCACGGCGACTGTTTCCGGCGGATAATATGTAGATGTATATACACGAACGAAGGACAAGACGGTCATCAATCACCGCTGTCGGAATGCCATTAACGAGTGACAACGCCGACATCTACGACTACTGCCGGGCTCAACCGCTGAGTTGATCGAAAACTACCGATGTGAACGGGAATCAATTGGAAAATACTTTTTCTACGACGATCTATATTCCTATAAGCGTGTAATATTATTAATATTAAGTATTCTGGAATATTAATAGATGGTTATATATCCATTTCTAATGATATTTAAAAAATAATATCATTTAATGTTATTGTAATATTATTTAAGTATTCAACCCCACATATATATGTATGTGATATATATAATTGTAGTTTTCTCATTTCAAATGTACTGCAATATCAATTGTTTTAATATATAAATAAAGTCGAAAAAATTTTGTGTAAAAATACGTTTTATACTAAAAAAAATACATACATGTGGTTATGTGTGTGTGTGTGTGTGTGTGTGTGTGTGTGTGTGTGTGTAATATATATGTATATTTCATTTATATTTTATTTATATATACTTTTCTATATCATTATTATTATTATTACTATTTTAATTCTAAGAACATTTTTATAACATGCCAAGAATATGTATGAAATGGACATATAACATCAATAGAACATTCTTATAATATTATAAAATATTACATAACATTCTTAGAATTTTATAAGAATATTATATTATATTACTATTGAATAATATTCATATAATATTCTAGGAATATTACGCGCTTACAGGGATGTGTGTGACATGACGAGGGCACGTAGTGTCACAACTGGACGCGCTGTTACACGACGAAAGCACGGGCCGATTACACAGGCCGACAAAATGAGACCGACCTCCTTACCCAGAAACCAGACTATACTTTCCCGAAGGTTTTCGGTGCACTGAGTTCAAATCTGGCCGCAGAATTGCTCTATCATCACATCAGGATTTTGAGATATTCTAACCTAAAAGTGCAAAAAATGCCGTTTTTGCCCACTTTTGCGGTTATGTATGCAAGCCAGAGTAATTTTTCTCAAAAAAGTAAAAAAAAAGTTATTAAAGTACAAGTCTTCCTCTTTCAAATGGCGTTGAGTTTGCTTAAATATCTTTTTGCTTCGCTGAGATATTACAATTTTAAGTTTACGAATTTTAAAATTTTCCTATATCTTGAAAATCATGAAAGTAACATAGCGGCCATGTGTACTATCCGCAGCACTTTCTGTTCATGGATTCAACAAGGTTATTTTTATGTATTTTGACCCGCTGATTCCGAAATTCGAGATTGGAAGGCTGGGAAACGTCACTAACATCCGGAAAATTCATAATTATATCTCAAAATCCTGATGTGATAGAGCAATTCTGCGGCCATATTTGAATTCAGCGCATCGAAAACCTTCGGGAAAGTATAGTCTGGTTTCTGGGTAAAAATTTTGTCGACCTGTGTTATTAGACGGAGGTGCGATTTACGGTAGATGGATTCGTATCGCGCGTGATTTCGGAATAATCGCCTACATTGACGTGGCAACGGTCGGGCAAATATCACGTTCGCGTCGTGACAAGTTAAGAACGAGTGCGAAAAACATCATTTGTTTCTGAGCTACGGAAAAGTAGATAAACAGCATTTAAACAAAAACATGTATTATTTCATCGCTCTCTCTTACAAATAAGCCGTAAATATCTTTAATTGGGATAAAATTCGGAAACACGCGTTAATCCTGAAATGCGTCGAGCGTCGGAATTTTTAGAACAGAACGGGACGAAAGTTTTTCACTATCGCGTAGATTCGTACAGCGATTGTGCTGCATTGGATAAAACAACAATGTTATTGGCGTGTGAAAAACGAGAGAGAGAGACAGAGAGAGAGAGAACGGACTCGGATACTCGGAATATCTGCTTTGCTATATTTATAAATAGATGCTATGTTGAAATATTCATGAGTATCTTGATTGGCGTGAATGCGTGGTAGTCTTAAGTTGCAAGCTAAAGTAAAGCGCGAAGTAAAGCGGAAAGTGAGACGATTGTTGGGGAATTCGCATCCACTTCTTCCCATCGACGATCCGCCGGAAGTACTCGAGCTCCTTGTTGCACGATTCGACCCACTCTGCGAGAACATTTCCGTATTCTGATTATCGAGCGCATTCGACAACATTGGATATCGTGTTAGCACACGATATCGAAAGATGTGCGGAGAGAGACGAGAACGGGGGACAAAATAACGTCGGAGTCACGACGGACAATATCCACCAGGCATTTGTGAGACACATATTCCGCGCAATCGATCGATCTCATATCATGATATTCACGCAACACGCGCGATTGACGGCGAGAAGTTCGAATCCAGAATGTCCGAGTGATAACGGGACAAGTGAAAGACCGACTGTACCTTATAAGCGCGTAATATTATTTAATATTAAGTAATTTTCCGGGCATGCTCTTAGAATATTAGACATAATATTCTAATAATATTCTAATAATATTATTTAACATTAAGCAATATTTCTGGAACATTAATAAATGGCTATACATCCACTCCTAATAATATTAAAAAAATAATATTATTTAATGTTATTGTAATATTATATATTTTTTAAATATTCTATTCTGTTCTATGTGTATATATATATATATATATATTGGTATTTGAAATGTATTGCAATACCAATTGTTTTATTATATAAATGGAAAGAATTTTTTGTAAAAATACGTTTTATACTAAAAAAATTATATATATATAAAATAATAATATAGAAATATAGAATAATATAGAACAATATATAAATTACACACACATACACACAAACACACACACATGTAAGGTGCCCTAAACTAATCTTGGTTTCCGCGATATGTAAGTAAAACGGGTAAAACTGAGTAGAAAAGTCATATACCATTTTGCAAAATTCGCAACAGTTAGTGAAGAATTAATTATTTTGTCTGAGTTAATGAGCACACGGGAAAGAGTCTTATACTCTGTATAAAGAAAAATAGTTTACTTCTGAAGTACAGGGTTAACTATTAGGATTTTTGTAAAATGATACAGGATTTTTCTAATCAGTTTCACCCGTCCTATTTGCACACCACGGAAACCAAGATTAATTTGGGACACTCAGTATATATATATTATTTATATATTTTTCTATATTATTATTATTTTATTTTTTTTTATATTCTAAGAACATTTTTATAATATGCCAAAAGTATTATGTGAAGCTTAGAATATTATAAGAATATTATTTTATTATTGAATATTAAATTTAATATTGAATATTAATTATTTTAATATTCATATGACATTCTAGGAATATTGCGCGCTTATGGGGTAACTTCACCGGTCGCGGACGTTTCGACCCTCTCTCATCAGTTTCGCGTCAGTCGCGGTCGAACACAACTAATAACACCGGTCAGTACAAAAATTATATCCTGAATCTAAACCGCCAATTCGAGTTAATTTAGTGGCATTGAGCGCGGATGTAACAATTAAAGTCAACATTTAATTGCAGTTTCCATCATATAGTCAAATAATGATTAAAAGAGAATCTGATATTTGAAGCTTTCACGTAGTATGAAGGAAAGAGAATGTCTTCAGAATCACCTCTTTTAAAACTAATTTTTTATTTAGACGCTGTGTATGGTAGTTTTTAAGACTTTATGAATGAAACATGTATTTTAATTTTTTAATTAATAGATACCTGATAATGTAACATTCAAAAGGAACTTTAGCATTTCTGACAGTATGAAGTATAAAAATAAAAAATTACGGTAAAAATATGTTCTGTTGTTTTATTTTTATACCTTATACTATTAATTTTCAAAAAAAAATATATAGTCTATATTTCTCGAACTGTAGCTAAATAATTTTCACATTGCCATTCTCTGTTTCAATACGTGAACGTAAATAGAAAAATTAAAATTCGAAGAAGATACAATTTGTGATACTAAATTTGTCGACCAATGTAAGTGGGGAGCTTCTCTTCTCGACGAGAGAAGAAAGGACCGTTGCTCTGCACAGATTTTCTAATGCCACGAAATTAACATTAAACAATTTTTCGTCTGATATTTCAAACGCTATATGAAGAGAAACGTTTGACTTGGCATCCGAGTGGCTCACTGCGACTTTTTCGTAGATTTGTTGTCTCTGTGATTTGCAAATCCGCGATCTTCGAATCGACATACGCGCGCTTCTCCATATTCGGGCGAGAATTCGCGATTTCGGTTTGTTCTTCTTCTTCGCCAACGCTCTGACAAGTTGCGCTAACGCGTGGAAAATAGTAGCGACATCGATCGTAAGTATCGAGAGGACAAATCGTCGATCGGTATATTGCGAGTAAACGTGTGTGTTCTGTACAGGTCGATTTCAGCTCGCTGAAATATTCATTCAATCGCGATACACGATACACGCACGCCGTTCAGCTGCGCAAGATCTACGGCGACAGTGATAGCGCGCGCATAATAGCAGACCGGCATATACCGCAAGATGCGGGATGAAAGGCAAGACTTTTCTGTGAGCAACGAGACAGCTACAGGGTTGGAGAAAACAAAGAGAGAGAAAGAGAGAGACAGAGAAAAAGAGATGAGAAACAGAGAGAAAAGGAGAAACAAAGAGGGAGGGAAAAAGAAAGAGAGAGAGAGAGAGAGAGAGAGAAAATGGTAAATAAATAGATAGATAAAGTGAGAGAGAGAGAGAAAGAGAGAGAGAGAGAGAGGAGCACAGACACTCACGGCACACACGTGTTTCCACACGCGGTAGATCGATACTGTATTGAAATATTCACGGTGTAACGCGACGTGTGCCGCGGCGGCGGCGTCGACGACGGCGATACGTCAAGGTCCTTCCTCCACGAAGGTTATTATCTCCGCTCGTCCGAGACGTGTTTGATTCAGGCATGCGACGCCACGCGACGTCTCTCCTTCGACGGCGTGATGCCGGCACCTCTTGACCTCGGCCTCGAGCGCACACGTTTCTCGGAGAGGCACGCACTCCCCCACCGGTACCCCGGCGAGCGAGCTAGCGCATTTTCTGCCGTCACCCCTCGAAGGTCGCGCGCGCGCGCGAGGGTGAGGAAGGGAGACGGATAACGAGCGCGGAAACTCGACGCGGGCACTCCTGGCGAACGGCACCCTCGCACTGCGCGAGGCATGCAAGGCGTCGCGCGACGCTTCCCCGCAGGGCCGTCGAAACGGCGAACCCCCGCAACAGTAGTAGTAGTACTTGCAGTAGTAGTAATAGTAGTAGTGGCGGTGGACGCGAGGAGGCCCGAAAAGTCGAAACGCAATGCCTATCTGATTCACGGTCCAAACCGGTTCACTCCGTGGAGCTTCCGTGAACTTCCAAGCGTAATATCGCGATATCGGGGAACGCGACCGAGACAGGCGAGCGTTTATTGCGCGTCGTTCGCGTATTTGGCGGGCGTCGCGGTCAGGATGTGTTAGAGACGATGACAATATCTATTTTCGAAGACGCTTCTCTCCCTCCCTATCTCTCTCTCTCTCCGGAGACGCGTGGGCACGCAGACTTTCGTACGCTCGCAGTTAAATTAGAAATTAATTTTCGTACGTCAGTCATGATAAATCATCATAAACGCGTAATATTTCTAGAATATTATGTGAATATTATTCAATAATAATATAATATTCTTATAATATTCTAAGAATGTTATGTAATATTTTCTAATATTATAGGAATATTCTTAGAATATTGAAAAAATAAAATAATAATATAGAAAATATATAAATTATGTATATATATAAATTATATATATATATATATATATATATATATA